AGGCGCGCTGCGCTCCAGAGAGCGTGGGTCGGGTAACGCGCGGCTGGACGCGCCCCCCGCTAATTACCCCGCGTAATTAACGACGTCTGTGGGCGAACAACGCCCGCACCGCACCAGCAACCCGACGCTAACGGAACGCGAAGGGGCGGGGCAGGGGGGCGAGCCCACGGCCGACAGCACGGATTTTTTTTTCCCAGGACAGACACACACACAGCCAAAGCACTGGCGTCTCTAGTATTTATTTCTGTACATCTGCGGCGGCACGTTCACTCCCGAGCCATTAGTTTTTGCTTCTTCAGCTTCTTCTGGGAGATCTGGAAAACAAAGAGGGAAACAAGAAAATTAGAACAGGAGCCTGCAGATCCCCCCTCAAATACCATGTGAGCTCACAGCCGTCACTTGCACAACGTACTTGGAATTGCGAGAAATTCCCTCCCCTGTTCACAAAACCAGACACCGATCATATGTGAATGTAAGTGTCTTGGTAAGTACTAAATCGCCTACAGAATGTCAACTCAATTTGCAATTCCACACTGGTCCAGCAGAGTGGGACAAACCATCCCCGTAACAGAAACCTCAGCAGAGCACGTTCCTCCTCCTCAATGTTGTGTTTACAGTTAATACTGAGGTCGCTCAGAATTGATGTGGGATTTCTTTTCACGGTTGTTCGAAAGGTGTCCTAAGATCATCATCACAGCAACCCCTTCCGCTGCAAACTGCGGTGCGTCCAGCTCCACACCTGCGAACGCTCCCATCCCTGGATGGTGACAAGGCTATGACACTCAGTACCTTTTTCTTTTGAGCAACCTCCTCCTCCGGCTTGGGGACAATCTGCTCCTTCTCAGTGAGGATCATCTCGATGTGGCAGGGGGAGCTCATGTAGGGGTTGATCCTGCCGTGCGCCCTGTAGGTGCGCCGGCGCATCTTGGGGGCCTTGTTGACCTGGATGTGCTCGATGACCAGAGAATCCACGTCAAGACCCTGGGCAGAGGAAGAAATTAAACCTGTCACTGGCTTTTCCTCTTCAAATCAATCATCTCTGCAGGAAAAATGGGAATAACCACCCCTCTATGCACACTGATGCTGTCAAACAGAACAGCTGAACCTGGTGGTGCCACAGAACTAGGGGTTTGCCAAGGAAGCACCAATTTAAGTCAGGAAACCAGACTGCGCTTCCATGTGCCACAACAGATTTAGGAGAGAATACACATAAATATAACCAGAAAATAGAGAAATGGGAGAAGATCTCCCAAAAAATGATGCTGATGGCTCAGGAAAAAAAAAAACTTGGTATTTTTTCATACGTATTCCAAAGGTGTCCTAAGGTAAGTCATCACCGCCATCAAACTTACCAAATTAATGTCACAAAGGTACACACTGCCCACCCAAGATTTTGCTTTGTTTTGTAGTTTATAGGAACACTAAACCACACTTGCTCCAGAGCCATCTCGCTGGGGAGCACAGCCTGACACAAGTGCTCTGTGTCTGTTACACCCACCTTGAGCTCAGCGTTGCTCTCTGCATTCTTGAGCATATGCAGCAAGAACTCCGCGCTTTTCTTTGGCCAGCGACCCTGCGTCCAGCCCCACTGCTTGGCCTGGAAGAAAAGAAAGAGTAAGAAAAGGAAAAACAGGAGAGAAGAAAAAAAAAGAAAAAGGAGAGAGGAAATGAGGAGGGGAAAAAAGGAAGAGGAAAGGGGCAAGACCTTTGTCCCAGTACAACAGTACCTGCCCTTTATGCACCGTTAATTTACCATTACATCCCATTACATTAAATGGATACCAAAATAATTAAATTTGATCAATTACTTGACACTGCAAGTAAATGCAACACTTCCTGTACTAGAATTAAATGAATCTTTTCTCTCTTGAGCAACCTGCTTTAGTGGAAGGTGTCCCTGCCCATGCCAGGGGGTCGAAACTGGATGACCTTTAACGTACCATCAACCCAATGATTTTGTATTTTAGTACACCACCATCACCAGGCTGTTCCTCACTCTGTCTTTCCCTCCCATCAAGCCACCACATCCTTGCCCTGTTTCACCCCAGCCCTCACCTGGGCACATCTACCGACACCCCCATTGTAGCGGCGGAAAGGAACGCACTGCTTCTTCAGGGTGACGTCCTTCAGGTACTTGGTGGCCTTGCGGATGTGCATGCCCTTGATGGCCTGGGCTGTCTCTCGAGTGTTCTGGCAAGACAGAGCACAGCTAAGTCCACTTCAATGCCATCCTTCCAAGTTACAACATGAGTAAAAGCACTCCTTGCTCCTTCCCAGATCCTATTTTTGCTACAATCTCAGTTTAAAAACATCACACACACAAAAACATCTTTTATGCAAAATAACAAGCAACATCTTATTTACTGTTTTTGCTACCTGCTCTTCTAACCCTTGTTATGAGTTTCACTACTGAACTTACAGTTCTGGAGACACCTTTATTGGTTTTTACCCAATACCTAGATCTTTCCCAGCAGAAAAATTAGAATTTTAGTATTCATACTTTTCTTAACTTCTCTTTGGCCACTAATCCCAAAAAGTAAAGAAAAAATCCTTACTAAAATGTCAAATATGACACCTTAGGGAAGCGGTAACAAAACAAACTATGCAAACAAATGACAAACTACGTAGTTGTCTATGTAGAGAATTATAAAAAGGGAGAGAAGGCGCAGGATGAAAAATCGAACTTACCGGAGTTAAAGCATCAGTGCTTGAGACAGCACTGAATAAGAACACCAGAACAACTACAATCCCACCTGGTGATAACAAAATAACAAAATCCCTTTTCTCCTGTGTAATACCAAACAGAAAAGCATCTGCTCAGCTCCAGTTTTCTTGTTAACGCAAAAGTTTCGGTAGCCCAAATCCTCCTACTAAATTCCCTGCAGATGTTTCCCTACTGTGTTGTATTTTCTATATAAGACACGAAGATTTTTAGGGCACACCACCTTACTTTTGATCTATGGATGAAGACCACTACAAGCAGCCAAAGCAAACACAGGCCATGACCTACGCTACCACCCCTAACTATGTAAAGACATAGGTGAGTAAAAGACACGTGTTTCAAAAGAAAACGCTGTAAAACTACCAAAAACCCCTCCCTCAAACCTTGCATTTTTTACTATGCACACGCTGCATACCTTGAAATGCACTCGCAGGTTGGATCCCCGGGACTTGCATGCTGAGGAGAAAAAAAGCACATTTTTTGCAATTAAAACCTTAATGGCTTCAGTAAAGTCCCCCACGACCGTTCACAAAACCCCAACAACTCACATTTCGTGGGGTTTTCCGGGTCCAGAGAGTAGCGCACCATCTTTGCTGCTCAGCTGCAGAAAAGAAGCAATCATAATAACCTGTGTTAAGGTTCTAACGCAAATACGCAGAACCGTTCACCTCATGCCAAGTAGCTGCTCAGAAACTACGCGTTATCTTTCACAGTTAAATCCGAAGGTGTCCTAAGGAAGTCATCACTGCAGCCGCGGCCTCGGCCTCCGCCATGGGCCTGCTAC